TAAGAATTCTGTCTCTGGCCGGGCGTGGTGGCTCATGCCTGTAATCCAAGCACTTTGGAGGCCAAGGTGGGCGGATTACCTGAGGTCGGGAGTTCAAGACCAGCCCGACCAACATGGTGAAACCCCATCTTAAAAAAAAAAAAAAAAGAATTCTACCTCTTGCTGAAATATATACAAATGAAATGCTGCCACTCCTGGGGTTTGCCTCAAAGTAATAAGGGAAAGAAATGAGTAAGGCTAGGAATGAAATAAAAGCTATAAGTGGATAACTGTTTAAACCACTGGTAATACTATTTCCTCTACTCTTGCTTAGGTTTGAATGTTTACATAATTAAAACTTTTTAAAAATTTAATCTCATTTAATGAATTTTGCAATCCACAGAGGTTAATTTGGAGGTGGGGAACTAGGAGATGCAGCTTTAGTGATAAAAATTATTATTATTACAGTATTATTATTATTTGAGATGGAGTCTCAATTGCCCAGGCTGAAGTCCAGAGCACAATCTCCACTCACTATAACCACCGCCTCTCAGGCTCAAGCCATCCCCTCCCACCTCAGCCTGCCAAGTAGCTGGGACCACAGCCCAAGCCACCATGCCTGGCTAATTTTTTGTATTTTTGGTAGAGATGGAGTTTTGCCATGTTGCCCAGCCTGGTCTTGAACTCCTAAGCTCAGGTGATCTACCCCCCTCAGCCTCCCAAAGTGCTGGGATTGTAGGTGTGAACAACCACACCCAACCAAAAATTATTAATCTTAAAATAAGAATGAAAGACATAAAAAATTTGGTGATGTAGATAGACCAGATGAGGAAACTGAAGGTCAGAAGAATTTTGACAACAGGTTGTTACTGCCAGTGCCAAGCCTTGAACTCCTGTCTCCTGATGATCCTTGTGGTTTCTATCCACTACGCTAGTGAGGAAGCGTGGGTTGCTATTGCAGCAATCTTTCCCAAAACATCTCAGCTTGCACCTTTACTCATTTACAGGCATTCATTAAACACCTACTATAAGCCAATCACTATGCTAGACTCCAGGAATATGAAAATGTATTATAGGTACAGAACTTGACTTCAAATAACTCAGGGTCTTGTAGAGAAACTGGAATTTTGCTGCATGAGCAGAGAGAAGTGCCACAGATGTCAACATGGCTATTAGCAATGCGGAGCTCAGTGGTAACCTTGACAAGAATAATTTTGGAGAAGAGATGAAGGATAAGATAGAGGCAAGCGAGTTAGGGGTGGGGAAGCCTTCTAAGCAGAGGAAATAACTTATCCAGAGGCTCAAAGGTAGAAAAGTCTGATTCATCTAATGGACTGAAGGAGTATCTTGCACCTAAAGCACAGTGGTTATGATAAAGTTGAAGAGATTGGAGTGAGCCAGATCACATAGGGCCTTCTACACCAGGGTTGGACTTTCTTTTAAATACAATGGAAGTCACTAAAGTGTTTTAAGCAAGAGAGCAATGTGATCCAGTTCACATTTTCCACATATCTGGATGCTGCATGAAGAATACATGGGAGGGGCCAAAAGAAGAAGAAGGAACAGCAGGAGGCTATTAAAACATCCAGTGAGAGAGGGTGGAGAGGCTTTGACTAAAGCGGTCAACAGGAAAAGCAAAGTAATTTGATATGACCTTTTGGAGATAGGTCAGACAGGACTTGCTACTGTATTGAATTCAGGGATAAGGGAAAGGTAAGAATCAAGGATAATTTTCAGATACTTGGCCTAAGCGACTGTGTGAAGATGGTGCCATTTCCAGAGATGGGAAAAAGTAGAAGGAGCCAGAAAACAAAAGTTGAGTTTGGCAGATGTTAAGTTTGTCAAGCTTGTAAGATAGTTTAGGGGAGATATCAAGGAGAAAATTAACTGTCGGAATAGGACTCAGAAGCAGGACATTGGGTTGAGATAGTATTTTACACAATCAGGAGGAGAAGAAAAAAATAAGTATCAAAAATTTTTTTAAAAAAGAAAAAAAGAGATGGTTTTTTAAATCACAAGCCTAGGTGAAGTGATTCCAGAAAAGCATAAAGAAAGAGAAGTGGTGCCTCATATAAAATGCTGAAGAAATTCTGTATGTAGAGAATTGATAGAGGGAAAAATATCAAACAGAGAGAGAGAGGAAAGAAGCAGCCAAAGAAATAGAAGGCAAAGAAAGAAAGAGTGACGGTGGAGAACCCAAAGAAGGAAATTATTTCAAAAGGTAAATATGGACTGCTGCTGAAAAAGCAAGTACAAGAGAAATGTAGAGCCTAGGATGATAGGTGGTGGGTTTTTTTTTTTGTGGGTTTTTGTTTGCCTTTAGAACAGAAAATAGCAGACCTGTTGGTATGCTGGTGGAAATACTCTAGGAGAGAGAGAGATTGATGGCAAAGAAGAAATGGGAAAGCTGAAGGAAACAATTCTTAATGTGAGAAGAAAGGAAATTCACAGAGCTGGTAGTCACACAACTCCAAGGGACACTACTCTCATTGTGTTCTGAAGTGTTGCTTCAGGAAGTGCCACCCGCAGAGAACACCTTGTGAATCACACCCGTGGAATTGTGCGTCTGGCCAGTTGAAGAATTCAGAGCCCAAGTAGCAGGAGGGAGTGAAGCATATGTGCTGAGGCTGGCCTTTTTTGAGAAGAGAAAGTAGGAAAGGAAAAGATGAATACAGACATAGGGAGATTAGTGCATATAAAAGGAAAAGAGTTTCTTGTTCACTTACGTTTTAAGATTCTCACAAAGTGAAGTAAGTCCTTGGGTTTCAAGGTCAGATAGATCTGGGTTCAGTCATTTATTAACTATATGACTTTGGGAAAATTCCTTAACTCCTCTGAACCTGTTTCTCCAATAGCAAAATGGGACTATTAATACCTATTTCTACGTAGGATTGTGGCAAAAATTAAGTTCTATGTTCATATGTAAAATGGTTAGCACAATGTCCTGGCATGTAAAGATGATCAATTATCATAGTCACATTTATAATGAATGTACCAGGAAAACCAGGAAGTGCTACTCACATGTAAGACATTACTGTTTTTCCTTCTGGGTTAGGTATGAAGAAGTTTCAATACATAAAAAAGTCAGAAACTAAAAAAATCGCAAAGGCTTCATTGCATGAAGTTAAATTTTAGAAGCTGTATGAAGCCTAGAAGGTTGCTAGGTAAAGTTTTCTTCTAAGATATTTTTGGCTCCTTGTTTTCTCCCTGGAGAAATTTTTAAAATAAGTTATTTATTAAACCAAAGTGAGAAGCCAGGATGCTAATGATATAAAATGCCCAGGGGAGATATACTTTTATTAGATTTTACTGGTTCACAACACAGAAAAGATTCTGTTTCTTCAGTATTAAGAGCAATTTTGCTACCTGTCCAAAGGCAAGGGCTTTTCCATGCAAGTGCATTTCCTTTCTGGCATAATTTAGTTATTTTGAGGTGTTACCAATAATGGCCACAGGGAGATAGTTGGACGCATAGGCAATTTAAGAAATTAGAAGCCTGGAAAAACCATCCTCATCTTAGTCCTCAGAGGAATTTGGGGGCATAACAGTTTAATTAGTCATAGAGCAAACATTGTTTGTGAAAGGAGCAACAACTGTGAGACTGATTATAACATCCTCATCTATCTGGACGGCCCTTTGTACAGGGAGAATCAAGAATTCTCTATGGGCTGGGCATGGTGGCTCACGCCTGTAATCCCAGCACTTTGGGAGGCCAAGGCAGGTGGATCACCTGAGGTCAGGAGTTTGAGACCAGCCTAACCAACATGGTGAAACCCTGTATCTACTACAAATACAAAAATCAGCCAGGCAGGGTGGTGCGTGCCTGTAATCCCAGCTTGGGAGGCTGAGGCAGGAGAATCACTTGAACCCAGGAGGCGGAGGTTGCAGTGAGCTGAGATCGCACCACTGCACTCCAACCTGGGCGATAGAGTGAGACTCCATCTCAAAAACAAAAAAAGAAGATACTGCTACGAGAACCAGTGCAGTAGAAGGTGTGACTGGAAGAGGAAGACTTGTATGAGAGTAAGAAACTCTTCAGAGAAAAATTCTCTAAATTATCAGCATTTTTTCATTTGTTAATATTTTTTTTCGACGTCCACTGTCACGGCCCTATGGTCAGTCCTATGGAGGGATTCAAAGAAGAATCTCTGACTACTGGGTTCTCACAATCTGAGCATCTAGAGATAAGACATAGATAACTATATATGCTTTAGAAAGGGATGCGTGATGGCTATTCAACTTCTTAAAGCTCTATGTAAAATCAGTTGCAAAAAAAAATTCAAGGACTTTTCAGAACACCCACATAATACCTTATACGCTTAAAAAAAAAGTAGTCCAGGCTGGGTGCGGTGGCTCACACCTGTAATCCCAGCACTTTGGGAGGCCAAGATGGATGGATCACCTAAGGTCAGGAGTTTGAGACCAGCCTGACCAGCATGGAGAAACCCTGTCTCTACTAAAAAATACAAAAAGGCAGGGTGCGGTGGCTCAAGCCTGTAATTCCAGCACTTTGGGAGGCCGAGGCGGGTGGATCATGAGGTCAAGAGATCGAGACCATCCTGGTCAGCATAGTGAAACCCTGTCTCTACTAAAAATACAAAAAATCAGCTGGGCATGGTGGCGCGTGCCTGTAATCCCAGCTACTCAGGAGGCTGAGGCAGGAGAATTGCCTGAACCCAGGAGGTGGAGGTTGCGGTGAGCCGAGATGGCGCCATTGCACTCCAGCCTGGGTAACAAGAGCGAAACTCCGTCTCCAAAAAAAAAAAAAAAATACAAAAAATTAGCTGGGCATCGTGGTGCAATCCCAGCTACTCGGAAGGCTAAGGCAGGAGAGTGGCTTGAACCTTGGAGGCGGAGGTTGTGGTGAGCTGAGATCGCGCCATTGCACTCCAGCCTGGGCAATAAGAGCAAAACTCTGTCTCAAAAAAAAAAAAAAGTAGTCCAGTATTTCTTGAACCAGAAACCAATATAGTCACCCAGGCAAGACATTTCCAAAGAATTTATTTTTTTTTCTTTTTTCAGGTCAGATGGGTAATGTGCTATGTTGTAACGAGGGTCAAGGGTGGCACATCTCACACATGCACCTGAACACCCAGTAATCATGCTCGTGAACTACAAAAGGATCACAAATCTCCACAGAATTTCAAGAGAAGTGATGCAACCTTCATTCACTCATCAGTCATTCAGTCATTTCTTCATTCAGAAAATATTTCTTAAAAGCAGCTGCTATGTGCCTGGCACTGTTCCAAAAACTGGGAAATGAAAATATAAAAACAAGGTGCCCTGCCCTCAAGAAGTTTCAAATATAAAGTAATTGAATTCTAAATGGTAATATCCAGTCAAGAGCAGCTAGTTTCAGTCCTTAAGTGGGTAATTTGTTGTCTGGCAGGTTCGAATAAGATGTAACAGCTAACAGATTGATGTAGTTTGCTCAAGTTTATGTGTTTCTAGTTTTAAAAAGTGTTTTAATAGATCTTGAACTCAAAATGTGAGAAACAAAATCGTTAATTGAAGAGTCATGAGAATTACATATGAGTTTAGAGAATAAGCATGTTTTGCTAAGCATGTACATGTGAGCTTATGTCTATGTACAACTTATTACAGCATTTTACACAGACATATTCTTATTTAAACTCTAATCTTTCCTAATTCAGGATGGTGAACTATTCTACCTACAGATGATTAACAAATGAGGCCGAGCATGGTGGCTCAAACCTGTAATCCCAGTACTTCGGGAGGCTGAGGCGGGAAGATCACCTGAGGTCAGAAATTTGAGACCAGTCTGGGCAACCTGGTGACACCCTGTGTCCACTAAAAATACAAAAGAAATTAGCCGGGCATGGTAGTGCTCACCTGTAATCCCAGTGTACCCAGGAGGCTGAGGCACAAGAATTGCTCAAACCTGGGAAACGGAGGTTGTAGTGAATCAAAATCATGTCACTGCACTCCAGCCTAGGCAACAGTCTCAAAAAAAAGCAAAATTTTAGACCTAATCCTAACTATCTTCATCTGTTTTCTATTGCTTATCACAAAATACGTGGAAACTGGGTTATTTACAAAGAAATAAATTTCTTATAGTTATGGATGCTGAGAAGTCCAAAGTCAAGAAGGAATCACATGGGGAGGGGACTAAGTGTGCTGGCTTAGATCTCTTCTTCCTCAAAGCTACCAGTTCCACTCCCACCATAACCCATTAATCCATTAACCTATTAAGTGATTAGTTTGTGTGTATATTAATCCATTCATGAGGCCAGAGAATTCATGATCTAGTCACCTCTTAAAGGCCCCACCTCTTATACAACCATATTGGAAATTAAGTTTCAACAGTGAATTTTCAAGGGAACATTCAAACTATAGCATGAGCCGAGCGCGGTGGCTCATGCCTGTAATCCTAGCACTTTGGGAGGCCGAGGCGGGTGGATCACGAGGTCAAGAGATCAAGACCATCCTGGTCAACATGGTGAAACCCCGTCTCTACTAAAAATACAAAAATTAGCTGGGCATGGTGGCTCGGGCCTGTAATCCCAGCTACTCAGGAGGCTGAGGCAGGAGAATTGCCTGAACCCGGGAGGCGGAGGCTGTGGTGAGCCGAGATCGTGCCATTGCACTCCAGCCTGGGTAATAAGAGCGAAACTCCATCTCAAAAAAAAAAAAAAACAACAACTATAGCACGGACTTTCTTTTGTGTCACATTGCTGTGAGTCCCACTAACTACTTTCACAACAATAACATCTCCAAATGCTTACTGATCTTCTCCTCAGATTTATTTTAACATTCATTTTAGTCTAGTTACTAACGTTTACATATTTCCATCTCTACCGCTTCTGCAATGTTGCTGCAATTGGTCTTGCATCTTCCATTTATGTTTGTTCTTTGGAGATACTTATCACTGTTTATCACCAAAGGTACAGCCTGGGAATCTATTTTACATTAAATTATTTAAGTATGATACAGGTAATAGGAATTTCTTTTCACTGTAGAAAGTTCAAATGGTTGGATGTGATGGCTCACGCCTGTAGTCCCAACACTTTGAGAGGCTGAGGCAGGCAGATCACCTGAGGTCGGGAGTTCGAGACCAGTCTGTCCAACATGGAAAAAACCTTTTATCTATTAAAAATACAAAATCAGGCCGGGCGCGGTGGCTCAAGCCTGTAATCCCAGCACTTTGGGAGGCCGAGGCGGGTGGATCACGAGGTCGAGAGATTGAGACCATCCTGGTCAACATGGTGAAACCCCGTCTCTACTAAAAATACAAAAAATTAGCTGGGCATGGTGGCACATGCCTGTAATCCCAGCTACTCAGGAGGCTGAGGCAGGAGAATTGCTTGAACCCAGGAGGCAGAGGTTGCGGTGAGCCGAGATCGCGCCATTGCACTCCAGCCTGGGTAACAAGAGCGAAACTCCGTCTCAAAAAAAAAAAAAAAAAAAAAAAAAAAAATACAAAATCAGCCAGGTATGGTGGTGCACACCTGTAATCCCAGCTACTCGGGAGGCTGAGGCAGAAGAATTGCTTAACCCGGGAGGCGGAGGTTGTGGTGAGCCAAGATCGCACCATTGCACCCCAGCCTGGGCAACAAGAGCAAAAGTCTGTCTCAAAAAAAAAAAAAAGTCCAAATGATGTACATAAAATGACTGCCTTTCTTGACTGTCTTTCCAATGTACACACTCCCAAGACATAACAATTGATACTAGTTAAGTGTAAATCTTTTCAGATGCTTTCCTATGCTTTTACATACATATTTGCATATAGAGAAATAGTTTTTACCTTTTATCAACCTTTTGCACAAATAAGGACGTCTGTCATTTGATATGTACCTTCTAATTACTCCTATTAACGCATTTAATTCTCACAATAACCCTATAAGGGAGACACTTTGGTCATGCAACCCTACTTTATAGATGAGGAAACTGAAGCAGAAAGAACACAGACAACTTGCCCAAGTCATGCACTAGTAAGTGGTAGGGCTGACCCCTGAGCCTGTTCTCTGAGCACCATCATACCATTATGATATTGAGGGAATATATTCTCTCCTCAGGTCCACAAGGGGGCGTAGTTTCAAAAGCAAGAATTTCTCAGTACCATACATACACCCACGGAGGTCTTCAAACAAAGACCTCCAGGAGCTTAGAGGTCTTTATTTAACTTTGGAGCACTAGACTGCCCAGAAATCAAATCAAAGGTTTTTAAACTCCAGCGGAAGTTTAAAGGAACTCCTTTCATAGGACAGAAAACTTGAATATGGCGGGAATAACTCCCAGGTTAAAAGTCCCCTTTCTTTCTCTCTCTCTCTCTCTCTCTCTCTCTCTCTCTCTCTCTCTCACACACACACACACACACACACACACACACACACACATATCCATGTGGACTCCATTTCTGGATCCCCTCTCATGACAGTGTGAGAGCTCTCTATTTCTTTCTCCTTTTTCTCTCTTTGCCTAAATAAATGATTTTCTGCAAAACTCTTTTGGGGCCAATATTTACTTAAACGAGCCCACTGCACCCGGCAGGGTCCTCTCCCCCATTCTTGGATGAGTGAGGGACCAAGGGTCTGGAAGAATGAATCCTATCTGGGAGCTGAGCCTCCCCCACATCCCGCAACCCAGTCTCAATATGATATGCATTATTCACCAATTCACTTTTTTTACTTAAATATATGACTTGGAGCCCATTTAAGATGTGATATAGAGCTCCTTCCTCCTTTTTTATGCTGCTGCACAGCATTCCAAAATCCAATGTATGGATATACCACCTTTTGTTTAACTGTCTGCTAAGTTTTGAACACAGACCATTTGCTATTGACAGTCAATAGTAACAGTCAATCGTAAACAGCAATAACTTGCTATCAGTAACAGTCTTAGAAGGGTGAGAAATTCATGGGGGTTCATTTTACTATACTGTTTACTTGCTATATTTGAAATTTTCCTAATAAACATTTTAAAATATGGTCATGTAAGAGAATTACTGTAGGGTAAATACTGAGAAATGGAAATGCTGGGTTGACGAGTATGTGCATTTTGCAATGTAATAGGAGCAGATTGCAATATCTAAAATGGGCTTTCCTGATTTACATACTTACTAATAATATACAAGAATACATATTTCTCTACAACATCTAGAACTATCAATCTGTTATACTTTTGCCAATATGAGCAAAAATGGTTTGATTTGCATTTCTCTGGTTCCCAGTCAGGTTAAACAATTTTAAGCCAAGCACAGTGGCTCACATCTGTAATCCCAGCACTTTGGGAGGCCAAGATGGATGGATCACTTGAGCTCAGGAATTCAAGATCAGCCGGAGCAACTTGGTAAAATCCTATCTCTACAAAGAATACAAAAGTTAGCCAGTCGTGGTGGCTTGTGCCTATAGTCCCAACTACTTAGGAGGCTGAGGTGGGAGGATGGCTTGAGCCCAGGAGGCAGAGGTTGCAGGGAACCAAGATTATGCCACTGCACTCTGGCCTGGATGACAGAATCAGACCTTGTCTCAAAAACAAACAGAAAAAATAAACAAAACTTCTTTATATTTATTTTTTGGCCACATGTATTCCTCTCCTACAAAGGATGATTTTAAATATTTTGCTTCTTTTTCTGTGGAATTGCAAGAATCTGTGTTTCTCTAAAATCTCTCCAGAAGAAGCTGGTAGTCCACCATATTTGGGAGCCAGGGCTTTAAGGGATGGTCATCTTTGGCTCCATGCCATAGGTTTGGGGACCTCTCTACTCACATTGCCTTTCTGAGTCATAAAACACCTAAGCTAATGAAAGTGGCAGCCACTCATTTGGAGTTACAGGAAATCCTGTTCCCTCATATTTCTCCAAACACATCTGTGACTCTTTTTTTTTTTTTTACACAGAGTCTTGCTCTGTGGCCCAGGCTGGAGTGCAGGTGGTAAGATCTCAGCTCACAGCAACCTCTGCCTCCCGGGTCCAAGCAATTTTCCTGCCTCAGTCTCCCAAGTAGTTGGGATTATAGGTGCATACCACCTATAATTTTTGTATTTTTATTAGAGATAGGGTTTCACCACATTGGCCAGGCAAGTCTCAAGCCCCTGACCTCAGGTGATCCACCGGCCTCAGGCTCCCAAAGTGCTGAAATTACAGACATGAGCCACTGTGCCCA